CTCTGTGCGTCTCTCTGTGTGTCTCTGTCTGTCTCTGTGTGTCTCTGTGTCTGTCTCTGTGTCTGTCTCTGTGTCTGTCTCTGTGTCTGTCTCTGTGTCTGTCTGTGTGTGTGTGTGTGTCTGTGTGAGTCTGTGTGTGCGTGTGTGTTTATAACGCCCGCTCACAGCGGTGCTGGTTCATCATGCATCTTAAACATGCCCCCTCATTTGGCGACTCCGATTCTTCATGTATCTTAAACACGCCCCCTCATTGGGCGATTCAGGGTCATCATATATCCGGCACACACTATATATATATATATATATAGATATATATATATATATATATATATTAAACACGCCCCCTCATTTGGCGTTTCCTGTTCTTCATATATCGTCAACATGCCCTTTCCACTCCCTTTCCGGTTCATCATATCTCTTAACCACGCCCCCTGAGCATCTCAAACACGCGCCCTCATTTGGCGATTCATCATATATCTTAAACACGCCCCCTCTTCTGGCGACTCCGATCACTCTCATTTGGCGATTCTGGCTCATCACATCATATATGTGAAACACGCCCCCTCATTTAGCGGTTGCTTGTCATCATATACCTTAAACATGCTCCTAGCAGTAGTAGTGCTAGCAATACCGTTTTTTGCTAGACTGCCACGTTCATATTTCTGTCCTGCTAAGACTAAGAGGAAGAGTTGTAATGAGAAGTATCATACTACACGCGATACCAAAATACATACTCTGGTCCTCAAAGCGGCATAGCAAAGCCCAGCAGCCCAGAGGACCAAGAGACCAGAGGACCATCGACCAAAAGACCACGGGACCAGAGGACAGCGTGACCAGAGGCTGGATCAGAAGACCAGGGGACCAGAGAACCGCAGGACCACGGGACCACGGGACTAGAGGACACCCGGGGACCACTGGACAGCAGCGTGCGGAAAAGGAAATGCTGTACCTTACAAGTCTGCCTCTCAAATTATTTTTTGATGCTTATCAACTTATTTTCTTGATGCCTATGCCGGAACAGTTTGGTTTGATCTCTCCTCCGATTCCTCTCGCTCCGAACTCCTTCCCTGGTTCCAGAGCCGAAAGTCCGCTACCGTGCAAAATTGCACTATACGATCTGGACTCTAGACAGTACGAATAACCAAGATCAATCTTTTTCCCCAATCAACACACTCATGCAAACATTCCTTTGTGCGACCAAGCTGTTCGTTTAGTCTTGAGCCTAGAGCCGATTTACAAATGAATCCTGAACATTCAGGGGGTACATTGGGCATGTGTCGTGTATCAGAGTGGGTGAATGATTCTGTGAGTGAGTGAGTGAGCGAGCGAGCGAGCAAAAGACGCAGCCAATCCATCCCTCCTAATTGCAGAAGACACCGAGAAACAAACTCAGAAAGCTGTCCCAAGCACGGCTTGATCTCTTCGAGTGTAACGTCAGTACGCCGCAGATCCTCATGATGATGTCCCGAAGCGAGCTTATGCGCGACGCCGTATGCGAGCTAGCGAGCGCCTCGAAGCATGAACAACTGGCCTCTCATTCGCTGGTGTAGTGCTTTCCCCGGAAGCCGCAGCCCATCCTTCTGGCCAAACTAGATATGAGACGTGCTGCGAAACATGCACAGCCAAACATGTGACTGCCATGCCTCGTCCCCAATCCTCAACAAAGCCATCTCCTTCGGCCTGCGACAAAATGTCACTGCCTTCTTGCGACATACGACAGCCCCGGCAAACCTGGCAGCATGTTGGTCCACGGCCTTGTTCTTCGCTCTGTTGCTTATGCTCTGCCCCCAATTCCTAGGGTTTGCTTCAGGATCTGACTAGCCCACACAGGGCCTTCGCGTCTTAAGCTACATGATCCAGGAGCCAGGCCAATCTGAACAGCCACTGTCCCAGCCGCCCCTCCCGTCTTGTTCAACAGACCACATGTTGGCGCGCAGGTTCAGCCTCCGCCTCCACGCCTCCCCTGCCTCCAGCTCCAGGATCCGGAGTCGTGCCAGCCTGAGTATTCACGGTCGTCCCAGCCTGAGCGGCAAAGAGGCTCGGGCTGCTGTCCTTGTGCTATGCGCCGCCAACACGCATGCCGGTGCGAATGAGTGCGCAGCCCCGGCTTCGCCAAGACGAAGACTCCTGGCAGGCCTACGCAGACAATGATCCAGTCGTACATGCAAAGTGCTGCTGCCAGGCCTCCTCGCGCGACGGCGGATTGAGCTCTGCCTCCTGGCCCACGCCCCATTGCCTTGCCCTCACCCGCCCAAGGACCACAAAATGAAGTTCCTAACACTCCGCCCAACACCCACCCCCTCGGTCAAAACAAGTGGTGGCCTGGAAAAAACTTTAATTAAGTCTTGCTTTGGGTTGTGGCTTGTGCCTTGCTTGTGCTCAGAAATTGAAGCAAGAAGAAAAAGAATATGTCGTTTGCAAGAACATCCCACGGCTCCATTAGGTGTCACGGTTCCATACTAAAGGAAGCTCCCTGGATAGCCATTTGAGCAGAGGTTGCAACACAAAACATGGATGTTGAACCCACTTGGCTGACGTCCGACTCCCCAGAGTTTTGAGATGTAGAGTCTACTTAAAAACCGAGGCTTAAAAAAAGTCCAAAATGAGCACAACGAAAAAAAAAAACATGACAGAGTTCAGACATGTTCCAACTGTGACATGTACTGACTGAAAGGCGTCGACTCGAGCAGCTAACCCGAAACACCTGAACCTGACCTCCAAACTACCGAACGCTTGCTCACCTTCACAAATGCAGCTGAACAAAACCCTGACAAAGAGTCGACAAAGAGGGCACTTCCCGGAGGCTTGTTGCACTTGTTGCGCTCGTGTTTTACCGTCGGAGTGTCGTGTCGGATTCCATGAACATCTTACCACATATCCTCCTATTGAAATTCAAGTAAGCAACAAACCTTGTGCGAAGCATGCCGCAAGCCACCATGTCGATGTTGAGGCTATGGAAAAATTTCTTGAACCGCTCGTAGTCGAGGCCATATTCCTGGGTATAAGACGAGAACGTCTTCAAGGCTGAACAACTCTCTCAGGCTGCAACCTGGTCCGGAACAACTACGCCAGCAAGTTTGTTCACAGCCTGCTGACAGACGAAGATTTACGTCCACGGCTCCTCTTTCATGCCTTTGCCTCTGGCGTGAACTCGTGCATAAATTTGCTAAGTACCTTCTCACGCTGCGGGTTCACGACAGCTGCACAACAAGGGATGTGCGAGGCAAGACTGCGTAAGTGCATAACGTTTTTGACCAGCTCTCGGCTCAAATTGCCGTTGTCCTGTTGGTGTAAACCCCATTGAAGCGCGTCTGCCGGGTCTCTGATTGGAGAGAAAAGCCACTCGCCTTTCCCTTCATCTGACCAAGCCCTTCGAACACCTGGCACAACTCAAGAACTGTGGCAAAAACCAAGTCCAAAGGCAAGGGCAGGCCTCTTTGGGACATGGTTCCTTCTTGTTGTTCTGCGATGCACCCAGCTTTTGGCGGAGAAGCATTCGGAACTCATCTTTGACTTTGGTCAGGACATGTCGAGCCTGCCATGCTGCGCTGCGGAACACCTAACCAGAATCTTAGCCGCCAGGCTGCCTCTTTTGCATCCAAATCTCGTTGAGATCCACCTGCACACGTGATAAAACCGAACCGCCTCACACAGCCACAGACCACGGGTTTGGAGAGGCAACATGTTGTCTGAGCTTCAATACCCGGCCTCCCCGATAAACAGTGGAAGCGCTTCCACCTGACGACAACGAATCTTGCACACGGCGGACTACGAGACGTGAAAAACCGCCTGGAGAAGCTAACTTCGCCAGAGATGACTTGAACTTGTTGCTTGCATTGGCCTGACACACACACACACACGCCCACCACACCCACAAAAAGCTCAAAGCACACACGAAGCAGCACAGCGGACTTAGTGGCCTTGAGTCTGCTTCTGTAGCTGGTGGGATCGGGAGGTGTGAGAGTTGCCCCTTTCATGTCCGTAGCCCAATCGCCTTGAGCCGTAATTGCTTTGAGCGCTTGCGGATCAGGACGAGTCTTGAAAACATTCGAATTATTCTTCACGTGCAGGGCGGGTGAGAACCCAAACGATCCCATGTGTGCACCAGGGGCAACAGTTGCGATCCAGAATTGGCATGTTCATAACAACGAATTCCAAATGACCTCTGAAACAATGTGTGCTCTGGGCACACAAGTGTCTCCTGGGTCAATTTCAAGACGGCTCAAAACCATGGAGAACAGCTTGCGTATTAGGAACGATCAGTTCTCATGCTGGAAGCATCTTACCCGCTCAGCACATGTTGCAGTTGAGCTCAATTTAAACCAAAAAAGCACACAAATACGATTTGAAGGGGCGCTTACGGGTTGTTAAGGTGTGGTGCGAGAGATTATCTCGAGTGCGGCTGTTGAGGCGCTGGCTGGCGTATCAGGGATTACAGCTCATGTCGTGTGGGAACCCCAAGATGTTATGGGCCCATGGGGTGGGGCGGGGGGGGGAAGGGGGAAACATACTAACTTTGGAACTCTGACTCGACGAGTTTGTGTCGAAGCCCAAAAACAAACTTTGGCAGGGCGAGTTGACAGGAAAAGCTTGTTTCCACGGCCGAAAACACAACTTTGGCTGGGTGAGTGTGCTGCAACTGCGAAAAAACACACTTTGGCAAGGCGAGTTGTTTCAGCTGCAAAAAAACACAAACTTTGACAAAACAATGTTTCGACGGCCGAGAACAGTCTTTAGCAGGGTTACGTTGTTTCAGCGGCGAAAGACAAACTTTGTATCGGGGTTGCGGGTGTGGGAAAGCTTGGCTCGACGGCCGACAACAAATCTTGGCCGGATGAGCTTATTCGGCGGCAGAAAAACAATCTCTGTTTAGGAAGGTTTCTTTTGGCGGAGATTCTTTAATTTCGAACTGTCAAAAGCCTGCAGTCGGTACAGAAACTGCATATCGAAAGTGAACCACGCTGGAGCTAAACGTAAAAACAGCAAAACAAGAGAAAATCACATGACTGGGTAAGGTCAAAAATCGCTTTGTATCCTGCCTCAGATATTCCGAGGTTCACGGGATAGCTGTATGTAAGCGACTTGACCGAAAACAAAGGATGATGTTGTCATGTACACGATGGGCTCGAGATCGTAGCCAGGCTCAAGGTTTTCGGACTATACAAACTCTTCTGGCCCTTTGGGCAAACTACGCCCCATCAGAAAGCTTGGTCAGCCGACAATGCGAGTCGCTTGACAAACCCAAGCGGAAGCTTTCACAAGAAATCAAAATAGCACGTGTTTGATCGGGTTTTCAAAATGTCGTTAGGATGAAGCTGCCTAGATGCATCAGGCGGTTACAACCTGCCTCTTCGGACTTTTTAACCGCTCAACGGTCGCACAATTAAAGAGGGTAAATGATTTTCAAGGATTGGCAACCCAAATTGGCATGCGTTGTGACGACTACTACTCACATCCCGGACACATCCCTCAAGAGAGGTGACAAGGATGTTGCACAAGGTCAAGAGTCAAGATTGCATGTGGAGCATTACCGTTCCCAACACGCTGCCCCAAGTACAATCCGTCTACCTGCAATGACGAAACCCTACCTGAACGACAAACCGACACGAAAAACCTCAAACACATAGAGTCACATTGAACAACTCACATAAAGTCGTAAACAACTACGAAAGCGTACAAGTAAATAAATACATACATAACTACCTAACTAACTAACCAACCAACTAACTATAACTAGCACACCAACTAACTAACTAGCAAACCAACTAACGACGTAAAAACATAAACAATGAAATACATAAATTAGCAAGTAAATAAGCACTCACATATTTAGGTTATATGTGTGTGCATATATGTATGTGATATGTGTTTGCGCGCTTGTGTTTCCATACATAACTGCAAGCACACATAACAGCGCTGAACACAACAGTTAGCATACCATTGGGTCTTGCTTGTACGACAGCTTAGACGGGCACAAACCCAAGCCAACGTCCCGGAACCTGCTTTTCCGCCTGTGGATTGGCAACGCTCTGATTCGAGGCGAATCGCCTTGGGTTCCTGTTAAAGGATTCCGTTGAAGAGAGAGAGAAAGAGAGAGATAGATATATATATATATAACATATGTAGTAGGCAAGAAGACTCATCGAGAACGGCAAAAGCAAGACTCATACCCTCCGGAGCTTCTTGTGAAGGAATGGTAGAACCCTTATGGAAACTCCGCGCCCCTCAAACTCAGATCTAAGCCTGGGCCTATGAAAGCCTCACGAAACCCAATATTGAACTATCTTGACAGGAACCCAGTATCGTGCAGGCGGGGCCTCACATGGAAGCACCGCAAACTGAAACTTCCATGGTGGGAATCTCATCTAAAACTTCTAATCCATTCAGAGTGCAGAGCAGAAGGTTGAGGGCTGCGGATTTGCGGCTTGTGGCATTCAGTCTATCGTTCGTCGGGTTAAGGGGGGTCGCGAAAGTACAACTTATGCACCGTGAAGCACATTGGGGACAGACGTCAAGCTAAGCTTTCACACCCAATCGCGCTGTGAGCCCTGGAACCTACGTCTTAGGCAACAGGGTGTGCAGCTTTAGAGTTCAGGGCGGAAGGGTACCCAACTTTGATCAAGCTCGGCTCATCTGAAACTCAATAAGCTCAAAAATCTCAATGCACCCCAAGAAATCCTAGTGGCTGAGTTCCCTGGCAGAAAACAACACGCTTGAGAGATTCAAGTACCACGGAAGGGAATGACCTACCTGCGCTCATTAACCTTCATGCATTTCCCCGGAGCTGCGTGAAGAGCTGTCAACTCCAATTCTCCTGCCCGAGGATTTACGGCGCCTGTTTTTAAATACACGGATATTTAAATAGGTTAAACAGGTATATTACACTACCTCCGTGAAACATCGCCCGGGCCCGCCACGAAATAAAATATCCGGAGATTAGCAGATGATTGGTGGGTTTGGGGTTTAGGATTTTGGGGTTTAGGGTTTAAGGGATTCGGGTTCAAGTAGAAGCCGAACCTTTCAGCTTCCTCAAGCCTTCCAGCCTTCTTCCAGCCCCAAGCCCCAGCCCTCCAGCTTCCGGCCTTCCAACCAGTTTTCAACCTTCCCAACCCAGCCCTCCAGCACTCCAGCACTCCATCCAGCCTTCCAGCCTTCCAGCCTTCAGCCTTTCAGCCTTCCAGCCTTCTCCAGCCTTCCAGCCTTCCAGCCCTCCATGCGAGACTTTTGTAGGCTACACTAGGAAACCTAGGTAAGTAGCTGCAGTGTAGAGAGTGAGGGTTTGAGCCAACTGTGCTTAAGCTGACTTCCGCAGCCCTCTTTTCAGAGTGACAAAATAGTGAGCCCAATACGCGTTCCTGCCTCCGCGCATGGTAGCGGAGCTGGTTCGGTAGGCCCCGACGCTCCAAGGGTGCGCGGGCCGAACCGCCACCCTCCAGCCGCCACGTCCGAGTGGTGGGGCTGGTGGGACTGGGACTCCGACTGGAGTTCCCAGTGGGACTGGAGGACCTCCCAGGAGGAGGCTTCTTCCAGCCAGGCACCGCAGGGTGCCAAAGGGAGCGGAGCCGCTGAAGCTCCAGCTCGACCGCGCCGCCCTCTCATAGGCGAGCGCACAGAAGCCCCTAACCAAAACCGGGGCAGAACAGCCGAGCCCGAAAAGGGCAAAGGCAAAACCGGCCCGAGTGCGGGCCGCCCCGCCTCGGAGTCGGGGAGCCGAACCCGCCGCCGAGGGGAAAAGGGAGCAGGGAAGCCCACAAAGGGCAAGCCTGCCAAAGGAGCTGCGCAGCCCGCCAAGGGCAAGGCAGCCCAAGCTAAGGGAGCAGAGCAGCCCGCGAAGGGCAAGCCAGCTCCAGGAGCCCGCGCAAGGCCCTGGGAAGAAGAAGAACGGCCGAGGTGGTCGTTCCCAAGCGGCCCGCGCCACCCGCGAGGCCCGCGGCGCCGAGAGGCGCGAAAGAGAGGGTACAGACCCGGTCGTCCTCAGAGAGGGCCCGGGGACTGATATCCCAGAGCCGCGCACCCCGGAGGAAACTCCCGAAGGTGCCGGCCAGGTGATTCAGAGCCCCAGCTCTGAGTCCTCCTTGGACACCGCGGCGGTGCCCAAGGTTCCAGTCTTCACAGGCCCCGCCCCTGGAGAAGACACACCGGACTTCGGAGGAAGCGACTCCGAAGGAGAGCGGGAAGCCCCGCCCGCTGCTGCTGCAGCTTCCTCTTCTAGCGGGGCCGTCCCTGCTAAGAAAGAGGAGCCGGCAGAGCGGGTCGCCCCGCCTGCCTCCGCAGAGGCGGCCGCAGAGCCAGCCGAGGAGGCAAAACCAGAAGCCTCACCGAAGGCTGCGCCCAAGGCAAAAGAAGAAAGCTCTGTGAGCCCCAGCAGCTGGGCAAGAGCAAGCAGCCCCGGCGAGTGGACCCACCGAGGCCACCCCGGAGGCAAAGCCGAAGGCCTTGCCAAAGGGCGCTCCGGCAGCGAAGGCCCCAACGGTGAAGGCGCCGCCGCCTCACCTTGGGCCACCGCCTCCACTGAACACCTCACCGGCCGACGACGGTGAGCAGGTGGAGACAGAGGAGAGTTCCTCTGAGGGCCAAGGGCCGTGCCAGTTCTTGAACGGACTCAGGCACGCGGCCCGGAGCAGGCCAGAGACTTCTTGGGAAGGGAACCCAAGGCAGGCACAGCAGTACGGAGAAGCCCTGACCTTGCTGGACGAGATCAGCCAGGCTATCTTCGACGCGTCAAGAGATGAGCCAGCAGCCGGCTTATCCACCCCCGCAGGGCGACCCCGTGGTCGAGGCGCTGCGCGGGGAAGTGGCAACCCTTAGGGGGTTGCTGGAGAGCCAAGCGCAGCAGCTGCAGGCTGCGATTGGCGAGCTTGCGGCCCAAAGACAGCAAACACAGGGCCTTGCTGCAGCAGCCGCTCCGGCGGCACCCGCCCCTGCGCCTGCGCAGGCGAGCGGTGGAGGGCACTTGCTCAAGAGCATGCGGCTCCCTGCCGCCTTTAAGGGGCGAGACGACTGGGAGCGCTTTGCCTTTCAGGCAGAGTCCTACCTGGCGGTCGTAGACACCAGGTACCCAGCAGAGCTGGAGGTGGCTCGAAAGTGCAAGGTGCCACTCCAGATGACCGCCATGACCGAAATGGCGCAGGGCGCGCCCTAGCAGACGAAGATCTGCGGGCAGTGCTGGTGACCGAGAGCCCCAACGCTCTCAGGCAGCACCTCGCTATGCACGCGGCGAGTCTAGGGACTTATGCCGAGGTGAGGGAGGTAGTGGTGAGCTACTTGCAAGCCAAAAGGGTTTGGACCCCGAGTGCGGGCTACGCCGCCTCTTCCCGAAGGGACCCTAACGCCATGGACATTGGCAGAATAGGGGACCACGGAAAAGAAGGGAAGGGCAAAGGCGACCAAAAGGGCAAGAAGGGGGACAAGGACCACAAGAAGGGCAAGGGCGACCACGACAACAAAGGAAAGAAAGGGGACAAGAAGGGGAACCAGCAAGGAGGCAGAGACGGCAAGGAAAGATGCCCAATCTGCTGGAAAACGGGGCACACCGTAAAGGAGTGCTGGTTCAACGCCAAGGGGAAGGGCAAAGGCAACAAAGGCCAGGTGGCCCAAGTGGCCGACGACGCGGCCACCACGTTGTCAACAGCCTCCTTGGCGACTGCGGGCCCCTCCGCGTCCCAAGCTGGTGGAAGCACTGGCGGCTCTGGCGGTAAAGGCCAGGTGCGCCAGGTGCGCGACGACCGCATCTTAGGTGTGCGGTTTGCCCCGCCTCACGACACCGAGCCAGAGGAAGAAAAGATCCTCAAGGTGTCGGGGAGTCTTCTCGTGGACTCCGGGGCGCGTGTGTCCGTTTGCAGGCCCGAGGCGTTTCCCGACCTGCAGCCCGCGGGCCCACCAAAGAGCCTTTACTCGGTGGACAACAGCCGCCTGAAGACAAAGGGCCGTGTCCAGCCGAGCCTCCTCTTAGGGGAGGAGCGCCAGTCCTGCAAGGTCAACTTTGAGGTGACCGAGGACATAGAGGACGAGATCCTCAGCATCAGCCGTGCTGTTGAGGCCGGTGCGGGCATTTGGCTCCACCGAGAGGACAGCCACATTTTGTGGCCAGACGGCGTCCGAGCCTCGATCCTCAAGAGAGGGTCACAGTTCCTCCTACCCTACGAGCGGGAGCTCCCGCCGGGGTCAACAAACCGGGTGGCACCGGTGGCGGCAGAGCCACCGAGCCCAGGCCGAGACCTGGGGCACTACGAGTACATCCCGGAACACGACCTCGAAACTCGCAAAAAAAAAGGACGCGGCGATGGAAGCAGCAGCAGCCGAAGAGGCCGAAGCTGCTGAAGAGGAAGAGGGCGCGGGTAACCCCGCCCCTCTCGAGGAGCAGGCTGAGCAGCCTGACTCAAGGCCACGCGGCCTGAGGGCACCGCGCAACCCCACGGCGCAAGAACGCGCCGAGCACGAGCTCACTCACACGCCCTACCAGGCGTGGTGCGAGAAGTGCGTGGAGGGGCGCGCGAGGACCCGCACCGCCGCCGTGAGCCCGCTGATGATCCGGTGACGCCACTTGTCACCATGGATTATCAGTTCTACAGCCGGGACGGGAAAGAAGTTGAGGAAGAAGCGTCGCTTGCCACGGTGCTGAACCTCACAGACAGAGCCACTGGCTGGACTCTGTCACTCCCGTGGCGCACAAAGGGCACAGATACGCGGCCTACGCCGCGGGGCTTGTGGAGCAGTTCGTGGATCGCCTGGGGTACGACAAGCCGACCAAGAGAATGCTCTAGCTTCTGTGGCCCGTGCGGTCCACCGCCGGCTGGGAGCTGCTAGGGTGCGTCTTCGGGACGCCCCTCGCGGGTCACACCAAAGCCAAGGATCCGTAGAGGGAAGGAACGCACACCTAGCAGGCGAGGTTCGCACTTGGCTCTCGCAGCTAAGAGCGGACTACCCGCCTTAGAGTGGGACACTTCGTCCAACCTGTTCCCGTGGCTGGTCAGGCACGTCGCCTGGCTGCAGGCCCGTTTCGGGACCAAGTCAACGGACGGGGTGACACCATATCGGGCAGCCACTGGCACCGACTATGGTGGAGCGCTTTGCTCTTTTGGGGAAACCGTGCTAGCCAAGCTCCCAAGGCCCGGGAACAAAGCGCAAGTGCGCTGGGTCAAAGGGGTCTGGACTGGCAAGCTGGAGCGCGACGACTCCCACGTGGTGCTGACCGAAGCAGGCGCACTCAACGTGAGGAGCGTCAGGCGACTCTCGCCGGAAACCCGGCACCAGACGGCAGCCGCTCTCAAAGCGTGCGGCCTGCCTTGGAACCCCAGATTTGGCCGCGCAGCACCAGCAGAGCGCAGCGAGCCGATGATGGTGCCAATCCCTCTGGCCACGCCGGCCGAGGAGGTGGAGCGGCGAGAACCGCCCGGTGAGCGCTGGCTCTTTCACGACGGGCCACGGCCCGACGACGAGGCCCTCCTAGTGGAAGGAGCCGAGCAGGCCAGCAGGCTCCCGGACGCCAGTCCCACCCAGGACCTGGCTAACGCCGACATACCGGACTACGAACCGTCCGACGTGGAGGCAGCACCCGCCGCAGCAAGCGCGCCGCCACCACAGGCGGCAAGCCCCGCCCCAGCCGCCAACGACGGCTCAGGCGAAGGGGGGCAGAAGCGCGACTCTGCGGGTTCCTCCGCGAGCGCAGCGGCAGCACAGCAGCCGCCTGCAGCTAAGAGCCGCACGGAGCCCAAGAAGGCACCGCGGCTAGGAGCGCTCACTGAGCGCGAGGTGTGGCAGCACATCGCTGCCTTAGCCGACGCGCCGCTCACCAACTACCAGGGTGAGCGGGACGCGTGGGTTGGGCAGGTGACAGACCTGCTGGACCGCATGCTCGACCCTATAAGCAGGTCGAGCAGGCACGCAAAGAGCAGCTGAGAAAGCTGTGGGACCGAGGCGCTTTCACGCCCGTGCTGCGGTCTGAAGTACCGCGCGGGGCGCAGCTCTTTAGGGCAAAGTGGGTCGACAAGTGCGACAAAGGGCGGTACAAGTCCAGATGTACATGCGCCGATGTCAAGGCCCGCTACAGCCCAGAGCAGGAAGCTGGCATGGACATTTTCGTCCCAACGCCAACGCCCGAGAGTCACTCCCTTTTGGAAGTAGCAGCGCTACACAACGAAGGGTGGGTCACTAGGTCTTTGGATATAGTGGCAGCCTTCTTGATTGGGAGGGACCGCAGTGCGGCGGAAGGCTGCCCGGTCTATATGCACGCGCCCGTGGAGTGGCGCGAGCTCTTTGACCAATGGGTCTTGGAGCAGCCAACAAAGGACCAGCAGTGGTACCGAGACCACTTCCGGGACTTTGTGTTTAGGGTGGACGGCAACCTTTACGGCCGTAGAACGGCCGGGTCCGTCTACAGGGACGAGCTGGAGGAAGTCTTGACTGGCAAGCTCAGCAAGGACTACGACTTCCAGCGAGGCGTGAAGGACCCGTGCGTGTTCCTAGACCGCCGGTCCGGCTTGATCCTTCTCCACCATATCGACGACATTCGTGTCGCCGGGCCCAAGGCCGCAGTGCTAGGTGGATCTCCCGGCACACTGCGAGATAACGGTGGGAGAACTGGAGGAGCCGGGCACAGCGGTGGAGGTCCTCGGAAGGACCAAGGTGCGCACCGAGGACTCAATCCTCACGCTGCCCGACAGCAAGCACGCAGACAATGTGTGCGAGCAGCTCGGCATAGGGCCCAAAGACAAAGGGGTCGTGCCGAGCAAGCCTCTGGACCTGTCAAGGTCCGAGGAACTCTCTGCGGGAGACTCCGCGAGGTTCCGCAGTGCCGTCGGTAGTGCCATCTACCTGTCGGCAGACCGGCGCGACATACAGTTCGCCGTGAAAGAGCTGGCACGCAGACTGCAGAACCCACGCATCTGCGATTGGCTCGCTGCGGAAACCCTCGCGCGATACCTGCGGGCAACCCCGCGGTTTGGAAGAGTGGTTGTGCTGGACCCGGCGTCCAAGAGCACAGCCCTTCTGAACTTGGAGGTCTACTCAGACTCCGACTGGGCGGGGTGCCCAGAGACAAGAAGGAGCACAGACAACATAGTTGCCTGTCTCGGGGGAGCAGTCATCCAGACAAGCTGCCAGACACAGCCCGGCCTCCCAGCAACCTCCAGCGGAGACGCGGAGATCCGAGGCGTGTCGCGAGCAGCAAGGGAGGCCGTCTTCCTACGAGAACTTGCGGAGAAAGACTTCGCCCTGGCCTGCGGCTTGCCGCGGCTCTGGGCGGACTCCGCAGCTTCGATCGGAGCCGCCAAGCGGATAGGCCCAGGGTCTAAACTTAGACACCTGGAAGTCGCGGAATTTTTCGTCCAAGGCGCGCTCAGAGCCAAACTTCTCGAACTGAGAAAAGTTAAGGGAACCGAGAATCCGGCAAACTTCGCCACCAAGCACGCGGGTACGACAAGTTCACCCTGCAGGCCGACCAAAGCTTCTGTGGCCCGTGCGGTCCACCGCCGGCTGGGAGCTGCTAGGGTGCGTCTTCGGGACGCCCCTCGCGGGTCACACCAAAGCCAAGGATCCGTAGAGGGAAGGAACGCACACCTAGCAGGCGAGGTTCGCACTTGGCTCTCGCAGCTAAGAGCGGACTACCCGCCTTAGAGTGGGACACTTCGTCCAACCTGTTCCCGTGGCTGGTCAGGCACGTCGCCTGGCTGCAGGACCGTGCTAGCCAAGCTCCCAAGGCCCGGGAACAAAGCGCAAGTGCGCTGGGTCAAAGGGGTCTGGACTGGCAAGCTGGAGCGCGACGACTCCCACGTGGTGCTGACGGAAGCAGGCGCACTCAACGTGAGGAGCGTCAGGCGACTGCCGCCGGAAACCCGGCACCAGACGGCAGCCGCTCTCAAAGCGTGCGGCCTGCCTTGGAACCCCAGATTTGGCCGCGCAGCGCCAGCAGAGCGCAGCGAGCCGATGATGGTGCCAATCCCTCTGGCCACGCCGGCCGAGGAGGTGGAGCGGCGAGAACCGCCCGGTGAGCGCTGGCTCTTTCACGACGGGCCACGGCCCGACGACGAGGCCCTCCTAGTGGAAGGAGCCGAGCAGGCCAGCAGGCTCCCGGACGCCAGTCCCACCGAGGAGCTGGCTCACGCCGACTTTTACCGGACTACGAACCGTCCGACGTGGAGGCAGCACCCGCCGCAGCAAGCGCGCCGCCGCCACAGGCGGCAAGCCCCGCCCCAGCCGCCAACGACGGCTCAGGCCAAAAAGGGCAGAAGCGCGACTCTGCGGGTTCCTCCACGAGCGCAGCGGCAGCACAGCAGCCGCCTGCAGCTAAGAGCCGCACGGAGCCCAAGAAGGCACCGCGGCTAGGAGCGCTCACTGAGCGCGAGGTGTGGCAGCACATCGCTGCCTTAGCCGACGTGCCGCTCACCAACTACCAGGGTGAGCGGGACGCGTGGGTTGGGCAGGTGACAGACCTGCTGGACCGCATGCTCGACCCTAAGCAGGTCGAGCAGGCACGCAAAGAGCAGCTGAGAAAGCTGTGGGACCGAGGCGCTTTCACGCCCGTGCTGCGGTCTGAAGTACCGCGCGGGGCGCAGCTCTTTAGGGCAAAGTGGGTCGACAAGTGCGACAAAGGGCGGTACAAGTCCAGATGTACATGCGCCGATGTCAAGGCCCGCTACAGCCCAGAGCAGGAAGCTGGCATGGACGTTTTCGTCCCAACGCCAACGCCCGAGAGTCACTCCCTTTTGGAAGTAGCAGCGCTACACAACGAAGGGTGGGTCACTAGGTCTTTGGATATAGTGGCAGCCTTCTTGATTGGGAGGGACCGCGGTGCGGCGGAAGGCTGCCCGGTCTATATGCACGCGCCCGTGGAGTGGCGCGAGCTCTTTGACCAATGGGTCTTGGAGCAGCCAACAAAGGACCAGCAGTGGTACCGAGACCACTTCCGGGACTTTGTGTTTAGGGTGGACGGCAACCTTTACGGCCGTAGAACGGCCGGGTCCGTCTACAGGGACGAGCTGGAGGAAGTCTTGACTGGCAAGCTCAGCAAGGACTACGACTTCCAGCGAGGCGTGAAGGACCCGTGCGTGTTCCTAGACCGCCGGTCCGGCTTGATCCTTCTCCACCATATCGACGACATTCGTGTCGCCGGGCCCAAGGCCGCAGTGCTGAAGTTCACCGAGGTGGATCTCCCGGCACACTGCGAGATAACGGTGGGAGAACTGGAGGAGCCGGGCACAGCGGTGGAGGTCCTCGGAAGGACCAAGGTGCGCCTGCGGGAGACTCCGCGAGGTTCCGCAGTGCCGTCGGTAGTGCCATCTACCTGTCGGCAGACCGGCGCGACATACAGTTCGCCGTGAAAGAGCTGGCACGCAGAATGCAGAACCCACGCATCTGCGATTGGCTCGCTGCGGAAACCCTCGCGCGATACCTGCGGGCAACCCCGCGGTTTGGAAGAGTGGTTGTGCTGGACCCGGCGTCCAAGAGCACAGCCCTTCTGAACTTGGAGGTCTACTCAGACTCCGACTGGGCGGGGTGCCCAGAGACAAGAAGGAGCACAGACAACATAGTTGCCTGTCTCGGGGGAGCAGTCATCCAGACAAGCTGCCAGACACAGCCCGGCCTCCCAGCAACCTCCAGCGGAGACGCGGAGATCCGAGGCGTGTCGCGAGCAGCAAGGGAGGCCGTCTTCCTACGAGAACTTGCGGAGAAAGACTTCGCCCTGGCCTGCGGCTTGCCGCGGCTCTGGGCGGACTCCGCAGCTTCGATCGGAGCCGCCAAGCGGATAGGCCCAGGGTCTAAACTTAGACACCTGGAAGTCGCGGAATTTTTCGTCCAAGGCGCGCTCAGAGCCAAACTTCTCGAACTGAGAAAAGTTAAGGGAACCGAGAATCCGGCAAACTTTGCCACCAAGCACGCGAAGACTGGACCGGAGGTGCGGCAATCCCTGCCCTCCATGGGCATGGTGGACCTCGACGCAGTCGCAGGTGCCGCCGAGGCTCTTGCCCAAAAGGGCACGATCAAGACAATCCAGGCAAGCCCCTGGAAAATGAGTCCGCCGACCAAGCTTCCGAGCTCGGCGCTCATGGCCACAATCGTGGCACTGCAGGTTCGACCTGCAAAGGCCCAAGGGCACGACTTCGCTGAGCTGGTGCTCGGCTTCGCGGCCCTAGGCTTCCTGGCCTTCTTGTGGATGCTTTGGGGCCTCGTCTCCTGGCTCTGCAGGTGCAGACGCGAAAGGCACGAGCCTGAGCCCGAGGCTGAAGTGGAGCACCACGCCGAGCGTGCCGAGGAGCCGCCGCGTGCAGCCCCAAGGGCCACAGAGGTCTGGCTAAGGCCAGAAGCGCCAGAAGAGGCGCAAGCAGAAGCATCGAACCAGGCGCAGGCAGAAGCGCCGAACCAGGCGCAAGCACAAGGAGGTGGGCAGCAGCCCAGGGGGGCTCAAGAGCCAGAGCCTGAGGGCGAGCGGACCCCGGGTCCGCCCCCTGCGGCACACGTGCCACCACCACCGCCGCCCGCAGCACCAAGGGTGCGGCGCAGGCGTAGGGGACCGGAACCCCTTTCCGGGGACGACGAGCATCTCTACGAGACAGCCTGTGGTGACAGGATCCACCTGTTCACCAACTGCAACGGGTTGAGCTCCGTCCCACGGGATCAAATCCTGATCGGTTTTCGCTGCCATTGCGCAGCAGATCCCCAGAACTCGGAGTACCTTTGGACCGGGTTCTCTTTTCAGGTGGCCACCGGCCGCGTCGTGCGCCGGTACCACGGCCAACAAAGAGGTTGCCCCTTCATGGAGGGAGCAACAATGAGGCATCGAGTGTGCCTGCACTGCCGCAACGGGCACCAAAGCACCAAGCCCGGCAGTGCGGTGAACAACTCCCGCCTTTGGGTGCCTCCACCTTGAAGGCCCCTAGCGGGTAGCACCGCAGGGCGAGCCTTTCGGCTGCCAGCCCTGTGCGCGGGACGCTCCGCCCTACCAGGGGCGTCTCACCCTCCGACTGCGGGATGCCCCGCGGGAGGCTTGCTCTCAAACCCCACCTCTAAGGGGGGTGCGAGATTTTTGTAGGCTACACTAGGAAACCTAGGTAAGTAGCTGCAGTGTAGAGAGTGAGGGTTTGAGCCAACTGTGCTTAAGCTGACTTCCGCAGCCCTCTTTTCAGAGTGACAAAATAGTGAGCCCAATACGCGTTCCTGCCTCCGCGCACTCCAGCCCTCCAGCCTTCCAGCCTTCCAGCCTTCCAGCCTTCCAGCCTTCCAGCCTTCCAGCCCTCCAGCCCTCCCGCCCTCCAGCCCTCCAGCCCTCCAGCCCTCCAGCCTTCCAGCCTTCCAGCCTTCCAGCCCTCCAGCCCTCCAGCCCTCCAGCCCTCCAGCCCGCCCTCCAGCCCTCCAGCCCTCCAGCCCTCCAGCCCCCCTCCAGCCTTCCAGCCTTCCAGCCTTCAAAAAAAAAGGCTGGCAGGCTGGAGAGCTGGGCTGGGGCTGGAGGAAGGCTGGAAGGCTGGAAGGCTGGAGGGCTGGAGGGCTGGAGGGTTGGAAGGCTGGAAGTTGGAAGGCTGGAAGGCTGGAGGGCTGGAGAAGGCTGAAAGGCTGGAAGGCTGGAAGGCTGGAAGGCTGGAAGGCTGGAAGGCTGGAAGGCTGGAAGGCTGGAGGGCTGGGCTGGAAAGGTAGGAAAGCGGGAGGGCGGGCTGGAGCGTTCCAGCGCTCCAGCCTTCAACCCCTCCAGCCCTTGCAGTCTCCAGCCTTCCAGCCTTCAACCCCTCAAGCCCTAAACCCCTTCCAGCCTTCAACCTTCCGACATTTTCACGTCATACTGGGATTTAAATATACGGATTTAAACAAATATTTTATACTACCTCTGCGGCCAGTGCGGCTGGCCGGGCCCCCATATATTTAAAAAACGTCACCGTAAGTGTCGTTGAACCTGTCTGTTGGCTGCTTACATTTGCTGGAGTAGAGACTCTGCGTGCTCTGGCAGCTTTTGGAGATCGGGCTTGGTGGAACTCGGAGCTCAGGTTCAAGACAACCGCACGTTCGTAATGACGCCTGGAACCTGTCCGACCAGTATGGTCTCAAGCCCATGTTCGAAACAAATCGGTCTGTGAGGGCAGACAGCATATCCGAAGCCTGTGGGGGATCGACAGGACCACCGCTGCAATCGATTTCTTCCGTACGTTCTTGCTGTTTGCAATGATGCTTGCATATGCTTGCGCTCTCGCAGTGTGGCTTCCGGGCGTACATATGAGGGGCTGGCCTGGACACGGGAAAGAAAGTGACAGAAGACATCAGGTTTGACGTGGCATGCATTGGAGCGTTGGAGTTCCTAGGGTGGGTTGACGAGCCCTCGAGACTATGTAGGCAACTTCCTGCTCAGAAGCTCGATTAGGATGTAGGCCTTCAAGGGCTTCTGAACCGAAAAAGAAACACCCAAGGCTCAAGGCCCAGATCCAAACGTCCGAAGCCCTTTTGGATACCTGAAGCGTCGAAATGCCCGAAACACCGCCCACCTAAATGTACCTTACGTAGAAAAGCCCCATTACCCTGGCAACAGAGGAAGTCCTTGCCGTTCAGCGGCAAAGCCGAAAAACCCTGTGGGCACGGGATGGTACGGGGTTGAAGGTCTCAAGCTTTAAAGCTTTGATGGGCTGAGGATTCGACTGGGCCTCTGGCTGAGGGGTTGATAGGGTCAAGGTGCGGGATTGGAGGCTGCGGAGTTCCGAGTCAGGGTGTCTACAGCTTCTGCGAACTACATTTTCTGGTTCCCATCCAGCTAAAGTAAGGCTTCGATTTGGAACACAAGTCAAAGATTACTTACCAAGTAACCATAGAGCCTAAATCGCAAAGTTTTGAGCCCTGGACAACTATGTCCGCAACCCTAATGCAACGGTCCTTACAATTACAACACCCCTGTAAGATCTGTAAATTGCAAACGCGAGATAATTTCTTTGTTGAAAAGGCTTGCGGCTCCCTGAAGATCTAGGGTCCAGGGTTTGGAACGTAGCTTCATCCAAAACTGCATATGATCTGCAAGCGAGTTTGAAGGTCTCAGGAGAGTCTTCTATAAAGGCCAGAGGACATCAAGGTCAGAAGCCCACCACAATCCCTACAGAGCCATTTTCCGAAAGAGCTTTCATGGCCCCCGCAACCGAGATGACAACCAACGTGTTAGTCACCGCAAAATTTCATAAGGTACGACGCTCAACATTAGCCGGGCCCCGGACCCACCGAAGGGAACCAAAGCTGCCAGGACCTGGAGCACTCCCACAGCACAGCAGGAGTAATTGCTCGCATTGTTAGTATTCGCGCTTGTGTTAGCATTTGTATTCGTGTTACTGTGAGTGCTAGTGCTGGGATAACTGTTGATGTTAGTGTTGGTGTTTGTGCTGGTGTGCGCCGTGGTCTTTGTATTTGTCTTCGGGCTGGTGTTATCCATCAGCAGTCAGTAGCCAGAGTAGCCGGTATGTGCTAGTGGTAGTAGTAGTAGTAGTAGTAGTAGTAGTAGTAGTAGTAGTAGTAGTAGTAGTAGTAGTAGTAGTAGTAGTAGTGTTACTATTTTAACTAGCGCCAATACTAGACTATATTCACGACCTAGGTAAGGAGGTACTTCTGTTCCAAATCAAACACAGCGCTAAACGCCAAGAAAGATCCCGATGTAGAAGCACAACTTTGTTGATTGCCAAAACCTGCTTCCCTAAACCCCGAAGCCCGAACAAAACCCTAAATCCCAGCGAACTGCCCTCACGCCCCTCATGGCGTCTACCTACGGGAAAAAGAGGCCGCAACTTCGGGCGACAAGTTTTCTGCTCCTGCACTACCCCCTCAAGCCTAGGCCTCAAATTCCAATCACTATAATACCAAAACCACTGACAATCTGCGTCTCCCCGTCAAAAGCATCATCCCCAAAGTCCTGCGTCGCCATCTTCCAAGCGAGGTGGCGCATCTCCCACCCTGTGCGTCGAGGTTGGAGCTGGTAGTGAGGACAGCAGCAGCCATAGTAGTAGTAGTAGTAGTAGTAGTAGTAGTAGTAGTAGTAGTAGTAGTAGTAGTAGTAGTAGTAGTAGTAGTAATAGTAGTAGCAGTAGTAGTAGTAGTAGTAGTAGTAGTGGTGGTGGCAGTAGCAGTAGCAGTAGCAGTAGCAGTAGCAGTAGCAGTAGCAGTAGCAGTAGCAGTAGCAGTAGCAGTAGCAGTAGCAGTAGCAGTAGCAGTATGTGAAGCACCGCAAGCCGGTCTTGCAACTAGGCAAACACGGAGCGGCAGCTGTCTTTTGCTTCGCGAGTCCACTCGCACGTTCTCAGTCCCTAAGCCTGCAAAGCGCAGGCCGTCGCGAGTAAGCAACTCCGCGCGGCGAAGCTACCCTAACTCACAGCAGCCGTGCACACTTGGCAATGCTTAGAAGCAAAGCACTTGAGCCAAAAAGTGGCGTTTACAAATTATGTACAACATGCAAAGCTAAACAAACAGCTCGGCAGAGACTGACATGTCTGGGGTGACATGTATGCACGCTCACAATTCGCCCCTCAGCCGAGGCTCCGCTGCCATATCATGCCACCGCTGCGCGAAAGCACACGCGTGTGGGGGTGCGCCCGGTTCCGGCTGGGTTCCGGCCCCAGCTCCGGCTCACTAGCCGAGGAGTCTGGTCTATCTTCGGGAGGATCGCTCGCCACGACTTCTTCAGGTATCCCCGGGCCAGCCACCATCTCCACGATGCGCTCGCTAGCCCACTCTCGTCGCAGCTCTCCAGACAGCTTCTCAGCTTCCTGCTCGCTAGCCTTGCCGGTCCGGAAAAGCCAGCCTCCAAGGTCGCCAGCAATCTCCCTCTCATCTAGCTGCTCTTCCCGGTCCCGGGCTCTAGCCGCCTCTGCGTAGATAGCCTGGAGTCGGGCGACCCTTCCGCCATAGGAGCGGATGTAGGTATCCGAGCCCTCGGGCTTCCAGCGTCCTAGCATATCTCTATCTGCCGGCGGGATCGGCTTTAGGCTCAGCCCGGCGGGTAGCACTGCTCTCTCACTGTGCTCCGACCAGTAGCCACGGGCAACCGTCGGGATCCCCACCATAGCCAGTAGCCCCGCTGTTGCCACCATCGCATCTGCGTCGGTAGCCATCTTCTTCTCCAGGGCGCCTCTCTCGCCTAGCCTGGGCATGAGATAGTCCCGCTGGTAGCCCGCGTGGTTCTTTAGCAGGTCGAAGCCCGCCTGTAGCCAGCCAGGGTCCTCGAAGTAGGCTCTCTCCGAGATGCATACAGGTAGCTCCCGTATGCGCCTGTTAGCCCCGGTGGTTTTCGTCCGTCGCAGGATGGTGGATAGCCGACCTTCCACCATAGCCAGTTCATTTGGGACCATAGCCTGGAGGTCCGACCATCGCAAGCTGCCCCAAACCTTTAGGAGCTTAGCCCAGGCCACAGTTGTATCCAGGACCAGGCGCTCCCACCTAGCCAGGATAGCCGCAGGATATCGGGGGGCTCGCCGCGTCCAGGGCGCCTTCCAGGATAGCCTCTCGACGACCGTATCCTTGATCGCCCACGCTATCCTGCCTGAGGTAGCTCTCGACTCGGTCGCCCATTCCGCGACCCTCTCTATCCAGCTGATGGCCTTGAGGATCGCCTCGGGAACCGTTCGCCCGCAGGGCTCGTCGCCCCTAGCCATGATGTAGTCGGCCAGGTCGGCCGGTAGCCCAGGGGGGCGTCCACTCTTAGCCTCCCGTAGCCATAGCCGCCATCTCACGTGTATCGAGACGTAGCGCTTGAGAGTGCTAGCCCGGGTTTTCCCCGCTAGCGCTAACACCGCTCTATCCGGGTCCAGGCACCCCTGTAGCTTCTTCAGCACCGGCGCCTCGCACAATTCTAGCTCTTCCTTGAGCTCAATAGCCCAGGTTGCTTGTAGCCTTTCCTCCCTAGCCTGCGCCAGGGAGCCC